CCCCGCCGCCCGGCGCACAGGAGCCGGAGGAAGATGAGGCTGGCGCGGGCTGGAGCACCACGCTGCGGGACCGCCCGCCCCCGCGCTTCGAGGACACCGGCGGTAAGGCGCGGCCCGGGGGCGGGGGCGGCCCGGGGAGGCGCGGGAGCTGGGGCGCGAGAATTCCAGATGCTCCGTGGGCGGGCTTGCCTGTGGCAGCTGTGCGTTTCAGGAAACAAACGAGGCTGTGGGAGCGGGGATTTAAAGTGCGAAAATCAAAGTGACTGCATGGGGTGGGGGGTGCTTCTACTTCCTCGTGTGTGGAGGGGATGTGGCGGAGGCCACAGCAGCACTTTTCTACTGGCGAGGACGTGCCGGGGTGGGGGTGGGGGCTTCCTTCACTTGCTGGGGGTGCCCCTGAGTCCTACATCTGAAGTCAGTCACACCTGTGGGGTCGCATCTTTGCAGTGGGTTAGAATTGGGCTTTCCTAGTTGAGAGGATTCAGAAAACCAGACGCGTCTTGGGGAGGGGGAGTGAATCATTTTGTATTGATGGCCCCAGTACAAGCCTTACCAGGTGCCAGGGGTGGGGCAGGTAGCGGTTTGGAGCGAGGCCCAGGGAGAGCTGAGGGAGAGCCTACCCATTGCGTCTTCACTGGGCTTTCAGTTGTCTCCAGTAATCCGAGAAACTTTCCCTCTCCGTGCCATTCAGGATCTCTTGTTAAAAACCTGGCAAGAGTGGAAGGACCAATTACTGTCAGGTGTGTTCTGCTTCCCTCTGGGGTCATAGACGAGCCCCTGATGTCTGGAGAAGGTCGGAGGACGGCTGGCAGCTCTAGCGGCTCGAGGTCCTCCTTACTGCCTCCTTTTTGGGGGAATTTGTTTTAAAATATCTCCACTTAGCCTGCGGAGGCTCAGCAGCCTCTGCCCGCTCTGGGAAGTGGAGACCAGCCGTTTCCACCTGTCCTCTGATGCTTTTGTTCCTTGCTCCGCGGCCTTCTGTGGCAGCCCCTTGTTTCTGCACACCATTTCCACGGGTCGAATTGCGTGCAACCGGTGATGTTGACGACCAGGGAGTGGCCGCACTGGGCGTGATGCGGCCTTTCCCGGGGCTCTCCCTGGTCATAGTTGGGCCAGTCCGGAGCACAGCACATAGGCGCACAGGCCCGAGGGACCCCCTGGCTGGTGTCTGGACTTGGATCAGGGCATCACGCTGCAGCCTGCTGGCCAGGCAGGCTGGACTCTCAGCAGGGAGTGGTCTGCGAACCTCTAGCAGGCAGGCTGCAGTGTGGATGTGCCGGGCCACAGCTGGGCTTCCGATGTGCAAGTTAGCTGTGCAGCGTTTGGGGCCGGGTAAATTCAAAAGTGCGTTCTCATTTGGGCTTTGGTTATGAGTTTGGGAGTTTTTGGTCACATCACTCAGTATAATCCTTTTACACCCCCTACATTTTCCAAAATGTCACAAGGTCTAACAGCCCCAGACAGCTTTTTTTTCATATTGGCTCTTAAGAATTGGACCTGCCGAGAGCCCTGGTTTGGCAGCTGAGTGTCTGTGATCATTTTTGATCTGAGAATACTTGGGGTACATGTCTGCTGGGGAGACACGCAGACGTTTCCCTGTGTCTCAGGGGAAAATAGGGAAATTGTGTTAGCTTAAGCCTGGTTATGAATAAGATTCACGAGCGTGCTGGTGTGAGAAGGATGAACAGACTGAAAGAACATTCAAAGCAGTATTATTTTTGTTGGTAACTCACACATGGGAGAAGTCCTGCAGTGGAGCAATTTAATCTCACCACTGCAGCACTTAAACGGTCATGAAGAGCAATATCGTGTGTCATTTGGTCTTAGATTCAAATTCTCCTTCCTTCAGATGTCCACTGAGTTCACACCTGGACCTGAGAATCACAGTTAAGCATTTTCACCAACGACATTAGCGGTTCTTTGATGGTATTTATACCCAGTTTTGTTTTCCAGTTTTGTGTAGAGGCTGGATTTGAAACTCCAGCCCTAATTAAGAATTTCCTTCCTCCTTGCAACACTTTCTCCCTAAGGGAAATTTGGGAGGCAGTGGAGGGATAAAGTTGATAGCTTATCGAGCAAGAATTCAGATTCCCTAAAACAATGGAGTATGATTTATGGGGGCTGAAAATAGATGCAGAAATATGTTGCTGGTCAGAGAAAATCCTTGTGCCTGGTGGCATGGAGAGGGATCGGTGTGTTGAGAGGCTCAGCTGCACCACGGCCGCTCTGAGCGCAGAGAGGTCAGCTGCTAAGTTTACTGAAGTGCAGTAGCTAAGATAAGACACTCCAACAAGAGTGTGCGCCCCACTTTCAGGGAATGCAACCTGGCTCTCCCTCCATCTTTGTTCCCCAGTTTATTGACAGATCTCACTGGGCGGGTGTGATGGGATAGGGACCCAAGCAAAAGGGTGACATTTTGATCTGTAATCAGCCCTGAGTAAAGAAAACCTCTGATAGAAATTGCCTTTGCTGCTAGAATCAGATGAGGGAAACAGAGGATTCTAGACTCTTGGAACAGGCTTCCTGCCTGCCTTCTGCTGTAAAAAAAAAAAACATGTGTACACGTATGGATGTAAATAGTCGTGTTATGTGTGTAACTGTCTTATGTGTAAATGATATTGCTTGTGCAGAGTGTGGTTTCTTTTATTAGAAAGAGATCATAACCCCTGTCTCGGAGCCCTCTGAGGACCTGGAACCCATTTCAGAGTTCCTGCCTTTGAGGGAGGTGTAGACACTGGGCACCGCTGTGCCTTTGATCTGCAGTCAGAGCCCGTGGGGAGAATGCACACAGTAGAGAGATACTTAGTGCCCAGCTGCGAGGAGGAGGGGAGGGAGGGAGAAGCATTTCTGGGGTTAAGATTGAGACTCCTAACTGCTTTCCAGGCTGTTCTAGTCTCCTCAGCCTCTTCCTTCTTCTTTTTTTCTCCCCCCAGTGTATTTAACTTCCTGGATCAGGCTCTCCAGAAGTGCAACCAGCACTTGTGGATGGAGAGGTCCTCTCTCCCCCTCCCCCCACCACCCCTCCTCCCAATTCTGGGTTCTGGTCATGCCTTGAGGTGTGGGTCCCCTTGGGATGATGTAAATACATAGACTGTGTTTTGGGGGGCTGGTCGATAAACTCCTAACACTTGTGTGGATGGAAGGTCAGCCTGGGAGCTCAGGGACCCAGGACCCTCTCCTAACCAGACTGGCATCATCAAAACCCCTGAAGTGGTCCCCATCAAGCTGCCAAGCTCGGCTGCCCACCGTGCAGACAACCAGCGCAGCATGCAAGCTCCCTCTTTGGAAACAGCATGAAATTCAGCTGCTTTTTGGGCTCCTGCCCTTTTGGTTTCTTATTCTGAGCAGTCCTGTGATTCGTTCTCTCCGAGGAGGCAAAAGAACAGGCAGATGCACAGATGCTCGGGGGCTTCCCGTCTGTTCGGCTTTGTCGGTCCTTTGTCGCAGCAGGCTGCAATCTGAGCTGTTCGCTCTTTCTATGGGAGAATGGACTCCTTAGGAGTTTTCCTTCCATGTTGACCATGTCAGCCACCCTCTCATCATTTAGCCTGGAGCTATGACCTTGACAAGCTGGGAGGAACGTATGACATTGGAAATTAACATTGTGAAGTATTTTATCTTTAGAGTTTGGGGTTGGTTTCTTCGGTGTAGTCTTTTTGACTAACAAGGAAGAAGGGAAGCATCTTTCTCTTAAAACCAGAGTTAAACTGAGGCCCTCTTCTGCCATGAGATTTGTGAGCTAAGATACCTGGACCCCTCTCTGCGGGGCCAGGTAAGGAGCTGCTCCTACCGTTAGCTCTGTAGGCGTCCTGTGGCTCCAGGAGGACCTCAAATCGCGGTGAGCTACGAGAGAAGTCGCATGCACTGCTGCGTGAGAATCATGCTGTGGGCGCACAGAATTCAGAGGGGGGAGCTTCCTGGGAGAGGCGTCTTGCTCTTTTCCCGGGAGTCACTTCCAGGGGCAGGGGAACTCGAGCTCACGAGAGGGCTAATAACCCACAGTTCGCATGTGTTACTTGCTTTTTCACGCAGCATCGCACTGAATCTTCACAGGTACTCTGTGTGGGAGGAGTTCTCATCTTCAGTTTACAGAGAAAGACAGATGGGTCTTTTCTGCCAGAGTCTGGGGGGGTGGGGGGTCGGGGGGGTAATGAGATGACTTTGGATTAGGATATGAAACAGAAGATTTAGGATTTTATCTGGCTTCTGATTTAATCCCTGCTTCCCTGAGCCATTGTGATGGGAGGTTAGAGTTTGTCCTCAGGGAGCAGGGCTCTGAATACACCAGCACCCTGGGAGTTTATGTGTGGTTTAGAGCTCAGTTTTACAGTCGAAAACTCATCTTTATTTTTAAGAGCTGTGGTTGTATTTTTTTTCTTATTCGCAAGTAATATATGTTCATTTTAGGAAAAAACAAAAAGAAAAATGATACAATTTAAAGAAACCCCATAATCTCCTGTTATCCAGAAATAACCCATCGAGTGTGCCCTTCACACAGCTCAGGTTACTCATTGTTGAGTGACCTGCTTTTTAATTCTAATTAATATACTGTAAACAGATTCCATTTAAATTTTAAGACATCATTTTAATGAATCCATAATATTACACAGTTCCCTTTGGGTGGGCATTGGGTTCATTGTCCCCTCTGCCCTCGTATTTGTAGATATTTATTTCTACTTATGATGCTATGATAAATATTCTTGAAGCTTAAGTTTGTGTGCACATCCTTAATATGTTCCTTAGCATAAAATGATCAAAACAGAGTTGAATTAGGGATTTTGTACATGTTAAGGGTTTTGATGTCTCTTGCAAAATAGCCTACTAGAAATGCACCTGCTTACACACCAGCCAGCAGTGTACCAGAGTCCTTTAGAAAATCTGGTTTCCAAGGCAGCAAACCCATGTGCAGTTCCTGCTGGTAACATGGCCCTTAGGGAGTGTCCCATGGACTAAAGCTTATTGAGATGTGACACACACAGTGCATGAGCCACAGCGCACACCTTCCCAGGTCAAGAGAAGAGACTTTCCCAGCACCCCAGAGAGTCCCTCCGGCCCCTCCCCAGTCAGTGCCTCCCTGCCCCCAGGGGTAACCACTGTTCTGA